AGAGAGAGAGAGAGAGAGAGAGAGAGAGAGAGAGAGAGAGAATTCTCAAGTCTACATAATTAGAAAAGAAGCCAAAAATAAGCGCATCAATTTAAGGTTTATATGAACAGAAATTGGTAATACTTGAGAAGATAAAAACATACATCTCAGTGAAGCTTCGTAAAATGAATACTGATACAACATCACATGAAAATAGCAAAGGATCTTCCAGCAAGTGCACAATGTTGCGTTGCCTAATATGTTTGTTGCTTAATGATCTAAATGACATGCTAATATCTAGACTTCAAATTTAAAAATAACCATGAATCATAAACTAACCTAGAAAGTACAGAGCAGATGCAGGAAGATTCATAATCACATGATCAACATGCTCCCAGGCCTTGGGAGTTGGGGATTTAACACCTCTTATTCTCTTATTAGCATTCCCCTTTCTTTGACTTCCCGCATTAGTACCTCCACCTTCAGCATGTTGCTCTGCCAAGTTCACAACAATGAGGAAGGAAATTAAGAATAGACCACAAAAAAAACCATGATATCCATTAAGTATAAATAATTATGTAATTTAACATTTACCTCCCACAACCCAGAAAGAAAAACACTCATTTATCATATCTGTGTGAAGTTAGGATTAATAGGAATTCCATTCAACACATTAAATACTTTCAGTGTTTCACTAATAACTTTGTTCTAAACCTTGTCATAATAACATTTTAAATTTTGATTTTTAAGATTTTACGCTAAGATCTTAATATACCTTGTTTCCAATATCACTAAGTTCCTCACAAATTTCTTTGTTAGTTTGTCCATAGAAAGGCAAGTCATGTTCTTCTCCTGAAGAAGGCAGTGGAAGGAAGAAAAACGTTTAGTACACGATGTTCATGTTAAGATCTCTTGACAGTCAAATTGGATATCATATACTAAACTAGACAAGCCAATAGAAACACAAGTCACATCCAGAACCTCTTCCATAATGTCATCTACTGATCTAGGTCAAGAATCTCCTGGAGCTGGCAGTGGGAGAACAAAAATTTTGTATATGAGGTCCATGTTAAGATCTCTTTAAAGTTAGACTGAAATTGTTTACTAGAACGCAAGGGTGTCTACTGTCTATGAAATATTTTCGTTAAAGACGTATTATAACTTTAAACAGACTGATACCCGAAAAGGCCTATTCATAAGGCATAAAAACAAGGGGTTTGTCTGTCTACCCTCTGTTATTCCTTCACCTCATTTACAAACATAATGTGTCTGTCTGCTCATTTAGTGATTAGCATTTGCCTGCTCAAATAGTAATATAATTGGACTTCTTTCTAACAGTAACAGTGGTTGCTCAAAACTGGAACTGTGGTTCAGTCATCATAGTCTTATCATAGTCATAAATAGCGATTTAATGGTGCATCTTATATCTCTTAACTAAGTTCATGAAATTGAAATTATAGCTTCTTCCAATACATGTTACCTTCCATAGTTTCAGCCAAACACATGCATATAAATAGATGTTTCATTGCAGCACTCTTACCTTCATCACAAATTTCAGGTCGCCGTTTAACAGAAACATTGTCTATCGTCAATGAGACATCTAACCCTTGATTTGCGACTCCAGCAACTGGTGCTCCATCTGTATCAACTGAAAGCATATGAACGTTAACCCATTTCTCGTTCTTTCAAAAGACATGCATCTTCTCAAGTTTTAGCCTGCATACCAGTCAGTCTTCCATTTGCAGTAGCTGCTTCCTCAGTAGCTGATAATTTGTTTATTTCACAAACTTTCAGCTCGCTCAGCAGAGATTTTGAATGAATCTCAGAAGCTGGAATTTCCATCAAGTGTTTCATAAATATTCTAGCATCCATATTGTATGCACAGGCATTATCTTCCACTTTGTTGAGCTTCATATTAGTCCTCAAGTAATTAACGCTATCAGGATTTAAATCATTCGCGAAAACAAAGCATCCTTTCTGTGCCGCTGGGATAGCAAAAGGACCAATACCAGCAAACATATCACAAATGATGTCTCCTCTGTGAAACTGAGAAATCAGTCGAATGTGCTCATGCTCGAGCCTCGAGTTCCAGTAGACAAGCTTGTAATCAAGCCTAAATGTGGCACCATACTGCTTAACTTCCGTGACCATATTATCTTCACCTGCCAGAACTTCAAAATTTGGCACTCGGAACTCATTTGTAATGCTACCAACTTTGTTTACCACAGTTTTAATTCTTGGTTGATTTTTCTGCAAAGAGAGGAGCATCAAGGATAAAAAGAATAGCAAAGGAAAACAAAATCAGATGTCCACTACATGGAAAACGAAATTATAATTTACCAAAGCTCCTAGACCCCCATGTATAATCTATATCTGAAATGAAAACTTATGGTGCTAATGAAAGGAATATTCATACAGTTAGGAAAATTTTTACAATATAAAAAACAAATATTGCCAGACAATTCCTGATGTGGAAAAAAATAATGGCCAAAAAATGTTAAGTATCTGATAATGATTTATATAGGGGGAAAACATCAGGAAAATGGTTTTTTCCCCCAGTTCTTAAAATCCCTTCCACTACACCAAAACTTTGACATTGAGGTGAGGATTGAGGCCAGGGTTTCAATTTTTATACTATAACATGCCCAGCAGGTTGAGCACCCTTTCATGGGCCATTCAAATGGAACAGCAAGCACTAAAGCAGTGCAAGCTCATCGTTCTCGCTGGAAAAAAACACTAAGAGGATCAAAGATTGCCTAATCACATACGACCTGAAGTAATGCTGATTAATTGAAAATGTATATTTAAGTGTAGTCCAACATATTAGAATGTACCATAACTGTGCATAGAGTTTAAGAAACTGCCATGAAAGATTTAACAACATCTTGAATATTTTAAGAGAGTTTTTACGACACAATAAACCATATCAATATTGCCACAAGTAAATATAAAAATAAAAAGAAAACCTGACTAGCAAAAGAACAAGGCACTTCTAGAGATCTAGGAAAATCAAGTGATGATCTAAATTAAGCAAGAAAAAATACAGAACTCTGTATCTACTCATGATAAATATGGATAAAAACGAAAATAAACAGGAACGTCTGCACTGATTTAACAACTGTCAGATATTGCCAGATAAATAATTATCATGAAATAACAGCGGAAGGCATAAGAAGACATACATCATAAATAACCTTTGCAATGACATCCTTGTAAGGGAGTAGGTCACCAGTTATGTTCAGATGGGCAATATGACCTGGAGATTAACTTTTGTCAATACAAAATGACAGTATGAATGAAAGAAAAGAGTTCTCAAAAAAGTCTACCATACATAACACTTAAGTAATTCAAATATCAAATAGAAGGAAGAATACAATGGAGAATACAATACGTACGGAAAAATAAGAAATACTTAACTATTGTTTCAAAAGAAGAAGGTACCTCCACTCCTTGTGGCAGTATTTGCTTCAGTATATGATCTGCAAAAGAAGGGAAGTGCCTTTAAAGCACAGATGGTAGCCAAAAGATAATCATTAAGAAATAAAAAAAGAATTATAATTGTGAAGGTCCTTTTGTCCCACTTAGAAACCAGTAAAATACTGCATAATTCCATTGAGTAGAACAAGGAAAACGAATAAAGAAACTATTATTGATATCAAAGAAGCACAACTAAATGCTTGAGCAACATAATTAAAGCAAACTAATGGGTAACACAGAACCAGAGAACTATTTCAGACTTTATTGACAAAGACTTCCAAGATTTCCATCTTTATACATTCATAGATAAATCAGACGTATGCACAAGTATCTATCTAGGTAGTAAGTATATGCATACAAAGACGCCTACATGCATACTGCATCAAATAATACACAAAAGAAGTGAAGGTAGGGAACAAATTAAAGGAAAAGCGATATAACTCTTGATTTCAATAGAGATGGAAGTGCAGTTATGTCATTTTATATAAAAATCCATCCATTATCACTACAAACAAAGTATCTTCCTTCTCCCTCTCACATACAAATTAACTTTTTTCTCCCCTGAAATTCTCATCAGATGGATTGGGTGGTAACTAAATTGCCATTTATGAACTTTCATCCGAAAATGTTTGATTGTCGCAGACTGTTGAGTATCAAGAGACATTATATTCTAGAAAATTTTAGGTTTGCAATTATATGATGATCTTTGTTTGTATCAATAAAAAGAAGAAACAGTCAAGAAGAAACAGTTCCAAATATCCTTATCCCTACATACATATTGGAGAGCTTTCATAGTAATGTCACACTTGAAGAAAAGAGAAAAATATTATGTTAAATTATATTAGAAGATGGTATGAATAGTCTTCCTCTTGGGGAAGCCACAACCTGAGAAAATGAAAGAAAGAAGTAAAATGAATAGATAACTGTTAAATATCTGATATATACAATATAATTTCTTGCCCTTCTGCATATAAGCTTTGTGAAAAATCAATGTGCATTAAAGCACTTTTTAGATTAAATTTGCATGAATATGGTTGTCTGCGTGACAAGTTTACTATTTCTTTACACGAGTATTGCACATATCTGCCCACAACTGACCTGCTCCCCAATAAGAATATCCAAGTGTCAATGTATGAGGCACCACTTCAATCTCACATAACTTCTTTAATGAATCCATTACATCCTGAGGAATATCTGATAAATCTGTTCCATTACCAAAACCAAAAACAACAAAAATTTAATCAGTAACTAGCTTTAATGAGACCAACCATGTATTTGACAAGAAATTTTTTTTAACTAGATCATGTTTAATGAATACATGAAGAAAGACAATAAATTAACTTCGGTTCTTCCTTGTCTTTCCATTCCTCAGGCTACTATGTATTCTCTATGGTGGAAACATGAACAGACAGAAAAAGCATGTGTATCAGACAAGTTATAACACAAATAAATGATTTTTTTTGGTTGGTATGCAGTGGTGCTGGTGGTTTTGCAGGGCACATAGGTGTAGCTAAATGCAATGGTTGTAAGCCTGGCCCTTAAGGTTAAATGCCCACAACTCCTCAGAATTGAAAAGCATTAGTTGTTTAATGCATGATAAAGAGAGCGACTGAGAACTTGCCACAACAATGCTCTGAAAGTAACTATGTACAAATTATCTCAAATTTCTAGGGAAATCAAGTATATGCAACCCATGTTAAATGTTAATCAGGTAATTAAATTTTCCAAACAATAATATTTCTATGGAACAAAAAGTTTTATGTTTAGCTGTCTGCACTAAAAGATTACAGGTATTCAAATTCTATAGATAAAACATGAGTGATTACAGAAGACAAATTAGAGCATAGAACGTCTAGATGCTAAGGACTATAAAATATTATGTGTGTATTATTTACCAGAATTTTGAATCTTTTCAGATAATATAACCAAACGTTTTTTCTCAGATGCAGAATCTTCGGTTATAGGTTTGATACGAGCCTTATCTAGTAGGTATCTGCAAAGGAAGCAGTAAAAAAATGTTAGATGATAGATATAATCATTAAAAAAACTCAGTGTATACTTCATATCTGATGTAAAAAAATTTATCTTTTGTTGACTTGCATTGTTGAGTTCATATAAAAAGCTATCCTAAAAAACCAAGGGTAATTGACTAATTTCTGATCTTTACTAGAATATAATTGTGAGAATCCATCAAAAATAAAGAATATTATTGTGAGAAATAAGCTAGTTTGAAAGTTTTGATATGTGAGAATAGATTCACCTAGAGGATCGCATCCTCATTGTTTTCCTTGTCTCGAGGCTTCATCCCATTCATGGCTGGTCTTATTTGTGTACTTTTATTTATTGTTAATATCGTATATGAAATTTGTTATAGCCAGATTTTTTAAGAGACCGAATGGAAGAACATGAATCATGTAGTGCCATCAAAGGCGCACGCCTCATTGTGCCCATTGTGCCCTGCAATATGAGATAGTGGCAAAGCGGCCCACATATGATGTAGCACGCCCTTTTGTACCTTACAAGCGCTATGTGAAGGTGCTTCCCACAATGCTAAGACAAAGCATATCCTCATTTTTTTGTTCAACATTTCAATCGGGACTTTATATCTGATAATCCAAATCCCAACATAATAAATAAGCTTACTACTAGTCAGATTTGAGGACTTCACCTCACCCTTGTTTACTATTTGATTTTGCTTCAATACTAGCCTTGATTTGAATTTTAATTTGAAAAATTATGAACATTACTACGAGGCTAAATTATGAAATTGGTAATTGTAGTAGACCCCATTACCAATATGGTATTCTTGAAAATTCTGGCATCATTAAGGCCTTTTAAATTTGTGCTCGATGAGTTAAGGCTTAATATCTCACCGCAGCAACGAAACATGTGGGAATTGGTCATGTGCAAACCACGTGATTTATTGGGCTGATGTGGCATGCTGATGTGGCACTTCATTTGTGACATGACAAGAGAGGGTGAAATAACTAACCCTAAATTCCCAAACCCCCAAATCTCCAAATCCATCCCCCCCAGATTCTCCCATTATTAGAAATTGAGAGCGAAGGAGGGAGAGAACCTGGAGGAGAACTCAGAGATTTGATGGTTACTTGGTCGATTAGCTTGAGTTAATTGAAGGAGAATCTACAAATTTAGTTTAATTTCGTATGGATTTGAGAAATTAGGGGTTTTTTAAACCGATTTTGGTTTTTTGTTAAACACATTGAACCGTGAACCGTGAGCATGAGCTTGAAGAGACCATAATGTTTGATAAATGCTTTCCCCTTGTCAATTTCTCCTTTGTTGCATCTTAACCATGAGCTCTATATTTAAAATTCCCCCCTAATTTTGTCCCAAAATTTTTCTAACCATTGCCACCTCAACATCTCAGAAACGGTTTAAAACTTCACATGCTATCATATGAGAAGTTCGTGGGAAATTTCTCGCCAATGGCGAGAAACTAGGCTTTGACCATTTGAAGTCCAACTTAAAACGCCTTAATGACATTACAATTGTTAAGAATACCAAATTGGTAAAAGGATCTACCAAAACTATCAATTTGATAATTTAGCCTTTACTGCTATGTCAACCTCAAGTTGTGTTAGCATTATAAATTAAGATCTTATTTTGTTATTTGGTAGTAGATATTATTGATATTAACATATTTTTACAAGAAAATTCATAAACCAGTTCTTTCATGCTTGACTATGTATCTTGAAAAATTATGTGATGTGCGCCTCGCTTTACCCAGATGAGTCACATTGCACCTTGCAACTGCTACGCATATGTATAAATATACTTTGCACCTTGCAACTGCTACACATGTGTATAAATATACTTTGCACCCTGCATTGCGCATTGATAACACTGGAATCATGTAGTCAACCCTAAAAATATGAGATAAATGCTTTGTTGTTATTGAACTCTCACAACTTCACAGGTTGTAAAAGGGGCTATAATGATATGTTACCTATTGATTTTTTTTCCCTTAATTTTTCTTTGTTGGTGGTGGTGGTGGAAGGAGACTTGACGTTGAATTTCTCCCAAATTAGGCTTCTATTATCATTTTCTTTTGTGAGAAGATGATGTATGTACAATAATCCCCCATTATTTTACTAAAAAAACTTCACTACGTAACCCAAGAAACAAAAATATATATATACTAAAAATAAAGAAAAAGAAGAAACTACATAAATGGAATACCTTTCGTTATTGTAGTTGTTTCATCCAAGCGAGGTTTATTACCATCACAATTGTTGTTTTCCCTTGAGTTACACTTAGTGCAATTACTATTTATTTACAGTAACCCCTAATATATATTTGTGTAGTTAAATTGCGAGTTGAATATTAATTCACGATGTAAAGCGTGAGGGGTTAATTTTGGTTTTTATTTAATATTTAAAATTATTTATTTCTTTGTCCAGTTAGATCTAAGAAGAACTAAAGAGTTAAGACTACTTCTTTCTCTTTCTTGAGAGCAATGCGATCACAATAAGACCATGTCCTTGTGATTGGTGGGAGTGGTGTAAAATGAAACCTGGAGTCACAGCAGGAACAGTCGAAGGTGTAAAAGTCACTCAAGTCCCACTCCACTAACTCTGATTAACGTTGACATTTTGCTGAATCACGTCATCGATCTTCTTGGGCACAAATTGCCATTCCCAGTCATTAAGTCTGTCGGCGGCCATTTCTATAAAAATTTTGGATTATTAGGATTGCTGAAGACCACCGGTATTGAGTTATTTAAAATAAGACAATTTTCACTTTAGTCCTTACACCTTTAGTTTTTCTTGTTCAAATATAAAAGTTTTCATAAGTTAATTTTAATTCAATTGTTTAGATACTCACCTCTTTAATTTGTCATTTTGGCTTAAGAACTGGGCCAAAACTAGCCTAGTTTTTACCAATAAAAAATAAATTCAAAACTAGGTCAAGTTCAAACCTGACCTAGTTTTAAGTATTCACCAAACATACCCTATAATTTGAATGTAATCTCGTTTGAATTTTATAAATTAAGGCTTGTTGAAACACATTTTGGTTTTTTGTCGAGCACATTGAACTGTGAGCTTAAGCTAGAAGAGACCATAATGTTTGATGAATGTTTTTCCCTTGTTAATTTCTCCTTTGGTGCATCTTAGTCATGAACCTTAGTAAGAACTCCCCTTAGTTTGTCCCAAATTTTCCCCAATCTTTGTCATGTCAACAAGTCATTGCTACATGGCCCATATCAACATTTCAAAAATGATGAAAACACTCCAAAAATTTCTTAACATCGGCGAGAAATTGAGCTTAAACGCTTTAAATGCCAACTTAAAGTGCCTTTATGACGCTGCGGATTTTAAGAATACCATATTGGTAAGAATGTCTGCTAAAACCAATAATTTGGTAAGTTAGCCCTTATTACTATGTAAGGAGTATTAGCAATATAAATTAAGATCTTATTTTGTTATTGGTAGTAGATTTTATTTATATTCACATATTTTTTATGTGAAAATTCATAAACTAGTTCTTTAATGTTTGATAATGTATCTTGAATATTTATTTGTGGTGTATACCTCGCTTTACTCAGGTGTGTCACATTGCGTCTTGTTTTACTGCGCATGTGAGCATAAAGGTCCTTTGTGCCTTGCATTATGCATCGCGCATTGATAACACTACAATCATGTAGTCAACCCCAAAAATTAAGGATAAATACCTTGTTGTTGTTGTAACTCCCAGTCCCTCAGAACTTCAAAGCTTCCATAAAGTAAACGGGGCTATAAGAATATGTTATCTTCCCTTAATTTTTTCTTTATTAGGTATGGTGGTTTGAGGGGCTTCATGTTGAATTTCACCCAAATTTTGTTTCTATTATTATTTTCTTTTGTGAGAAGATGATAGGTATACAAGAATCCCCTTTTATTTCATTAAAAAGAACTTAACTAAACAACCCAAGCAATAAAAGAATATACCGAAAAAACAAAGAAAAAGAAGAAAATAAAAAGACCTTTTGTTGTTGTAGTTGTTACATGCAAGTGATGTTTACTACCATCACTATTGTTGTCTACCCCTGAGTTAGGCTTTTTTTAAGGCTTACTAATATTATTGTTTATTTCTAGTGGAGCCTGATAGATATTTGTGTACTTACACATGTGAGCTGAATACCAATTCACAATGTAAAGCGCAAGGGATTAGTTTTGATTTTTATTTAATATTGTAAATCATTTATTTCTTGTCCAATTGGACCTACAGCATCCTTGTTAAGTTACACATCATATTCTTAGATTGACAATGGTGTCTTATCCCAAGTAGGTAACATGATCACTTGATTAGTCTTGAGTCATAGCAAGTCAATTCTCTCATTTCTTATAGTTTTATAGATGATGTTATTTACGACTTATGCAAATAGTTTTGAGTATATGCATGAGTATCACACCCACACAGTCAAAAACAAAACGAATACTCCACTCATAACAAGAAACAACCATGTATTCCCTATTTCCCTATTTCCACCCTAACTCTCACAAGATAATTAGACATTAATGCTCCTGATATAGAACATACTCCTCTGTACATAGCTTTTCATCACTCTTATTTAGGATATATGCTTTTTTATCTAGGATGTAGAGTCATGCTCCTTATAAAGGCTATTATAAGGATTTAGGAAGCATATCAAAGCATCCAATAAAAAGCTCATAACAAGTCAACTTTTGTTAAGGCTAACTACACAATCTGCTTAGTTTAGCTTTTCCATTCATATAGTTTTTCCATTCATAGTTCTCACCTATAGTTATCGCAAGCATCTACATCTAAATTCCATATACGACACAACTTTTGAATGCCTATTATATGCACCTATTTTACTATAAGAAAACATCCACACATTTAAATTATGAAATCATCCTTAGCATTTTGATATACTATCCAACCAATTTTTTTCTTTTCGTTAAATCGATCAGTAAGTTAAATCTTTCAAATGAAGGTTGATCTGGTATTATACACCTATCGTTAGAT